ATAAATTATTTACCTCGTTTGTATCTGCTGAGAAATTGTGGTGATTATTAACGTCGGTGACAGAATTCCAATTTGCCTAGTGTTTCAAAATTCTCACGTTTCCTCTCTCTGTGTGTATGTAAACTTTATAACAAGCCGACTGAAATTGGATTTCGTTCGACTTGAAGGTGTATTGCAAACTGCGATCGCAAATTAACATTCGAACGAGGCTCGCCAAAATATGTTTCATCGATATGTTTGCGCAATTTGAATATCAATAACCATATGTCTTTTCAAAGAACAGATAACAATGTAAATCTTATACAAACAGGAAGGATCCTGTCCTTATACATTTCGTAAATCATTAACATCCAATATTAATTGCTGATGTTTCGCGTGATGACGTTTCGCGAAGGTCGCATTTATTGTGAAAATGAGCTTTGCGCAAATTATAATAATACGATTTTGAAAGCGGCGACCCCTTCTTTTTCATCTGGAAGAATTCGCGAAGGTTTACTTGTTTCAAAATCGATATTATGAGGGCGAAAAATCATTATCCTTGTAATCACGAGTATGAATTTTAATAACGCGATAATTTTTCAATCCACGCAACCAAAATATTCGCGACATAAATATTATGCGCTTGAAATTTAAATACGTTAAAAGATTTAACAAGTGATGACGAACAATGTAACGAAGGCTATGTTGCCTTTTCCACTTAAAATAATATAAATATCGTTCGCTTTTAATTGATGTTTTATAATGATGAAATTGGACACGTTACAGCATTCAGACTTTACGACCTTCTAATTCCAAAAATGATTTGCGCAATATTGAGAAATTGGTAAATTTGTGTTCCTTAATAAGAACATAATCAAATAAAAGTAAACTTGAAAAATTTAACAATATATATAATAAATAGAATGAATCAGCGCACATAAATTATGTCATACATATCCTTGTTAAAAAAAATACAAACTCCATTTTTGAAATAAAAAGCAATCAAAATTTATACCTCTCCTAATCACGACCAATCCGTCTAATCCGACTAATCGTACACTGAGAAAAATCGTTTGATTGTACCACAAGATGTATATGATTAAAGGCATTTAAATCAAACAAGAATTTCTAGTTATCATGATAAGACTCGAGTTTTTATAACTGGAACGTTTAATAGATTTTACTATAAGGATTTGGTTAATATTTTCTGGTTGGATCTATAAAATTTCTTGTTACATTAATTTCTTTCTTTGCCACTTTTAACTTAACTCGTATTCAATATTTGCCATGAAATGTATACATTTCATGGCAAATATTGAATACGAGTTAAGTTAAGAGTGGCAAGCAAAGAAATTAATGTAACAAGAAATTTTATATAAAAAACTAATATTAACGTTAATCCAAAGTACATTTTTTTTCTCTTACGAGCAGTAGTGCTAAAAAGAGGACGCTAGCTCTCTGAGTGTGTGTGTTTGAGCTGGATCCTCTTCTTGCATCACTGTTTATCAGTTTAATTTCTAACCAACTAAAGTTAAAATAATTTATTCAATAATTTGGATTGAATTTATGCAATAATCGTGTTGGAATTCAGAATATTAAACAGACTTTTGAGATTAGATGGAAAAAATTTTAAACGACTCGGTGCTGGTGAGTTTATTAACCAGAAAATTTGGTAAATTTAACAGGAAAAAATTAATCAGATTCACCTGGTAATTCCTACGAGAATCTGCTTCGTTCATTTTCTAACATACTGGTTGAATCTACCAGAATTTTAATTAATGCAATCAGACTTTTTTCTCAGTGTATTTCTTCGCGTTGATAAACCGTCTTAGATCCAGCAAAAAATCGCGATTGTCGAGCACCTTGTAGATACGAGCTAGTCCGAGCATCCGCCGTCTTAAGGGGTTAACGAACGTGCGGCAGAGGAGATACGGAACACACGGCGGACACCTACGTGGCTCACCCTACCCAGAAGAAGGGACGATAAAGTCACCGTTTCGCGTTCCTCCCCTCGCGGCCGCGCGCGGTTGCGATCCTAACGGTTCCCTGCACGCGGTTCACGCAAACGTGAACGTTCTCTCCGGGCTCTATCTTCCGCGACGAAGGAGAGCTCGCGTAAGAACGGAGGAAAAACAGCCGGAAGGTCCAAGGTAGACGCGAGTGCGCTTGTTCCTCCGCCTCTTCTCGATTCTCTCTCTCTCCGAGATGGGCCCGATTTATCTATCGCTACAGACGAAATGAAGCGCTCCCTCTTCGTTTAGCGCTAAATTATACTTCTTTCCGTTTAACGACAAGATGTCTCTCGGAATACGCTTCGCGGAATGCGCTCAGTTTCCGCTTCCCCCGGGAAGATCAATCGTGAAAGATTCGCGTCTGGGATCACGGATAATCTCGGAAGCGATTGTTTTCTGAGAGAATTGCTATCTGATGAGGAAATAATGGTCGCTCGTGACGCGATCGTTGGCGACTTAATTAACGGGCGAGCGTGAAACGCTTCGAGAGATCCTCCTGTTGCGGCGCAATTGGATCGCGGTGATAGTGAAAGTGCACGCGGAAAGGAACAAAGAAAGGTGGAAAAGAAGCGGAGCGAGCGGCCTTTAGGTGGCATGAAAGTTATCGGAGAAAGCCAATTGGCACCGTCTATCTCGCTTTATGCATCGCTCTCTCGCCAAGTCGGCGAATGTCGAGCGTCGCGTGCGCGCGAGTGCACGCGCGCGCGCGCGCGCGCGGAGAAAATAAGTGCACTCGCCGCGTCGAGGCTTTTACGTAACTTCGCGCGACGACGTCAGGACCGGCTCCGCCGAGACCTCTCCCCCCCCCCTCAGCCCCCCGGTCGCAAAGTTAGATCGACGCTCTTGCAAGGCGTTTCAAAGTTTAACAATCAAATTTTGTCGGCACATTCTCTATTTTTAAGAAAATAGAGAATAGAAAAAGTTGAAATAAAATGTAAATAAAAATATATGATGTATAAAATATTGTATAAATTGTATAAAAATATTATATAAACGTATATAAATATTATATATAAATTATATAAATATTAAAATTTATAATTAATATTAAATTATAAAATTTAATATTAATTATATAATTGAATATTATATAAAATGTATATAAATATTATATAAATGTAGATAAATATTAGATAATAGATATATTGTTATTAGAATCGGAAACGCCTTAAAAAGGTTTATAACGTAGGTATTAAACGCGAATAGAGGATTGTGAACATGTTTCGATTAGATAAGAGTGGATCGACGATATTTATCTAATCTGTTTACCGATTGTTTGATCCCTTGAGATCCCAGATCTTATACAACTGGACTTTTCTGTAGAAAACGATAATATACCATACCGAACATAATAGTGTACTGTACGAGAATCGATTTTGACAGGAATTGATAGGCTGGATCAATGATGCGTTCATTACAAAATAGATATAAAATTAGAATATGTTAATTTCAATCTCCATCAATGTCAATCTTGCTTTAGAAACGAGAAACGATATTTAAAAATGGAAAATTAAATAAATCTTCTTTTTTTCAATATAATATAATAAATTATTTTTGAATCTATATTTATATAACATTTTTTTTATTTCTTATAAAATTTACTAGCAAAGTTTGATCGTTTAATTTTTAAAAATACCTTGCATATTATATCACATTTTTGAACAAAATTCAGAAATTTAGAATTCAGCTTTCGAGAGAATTGAGATTAGTGTTTTTTCATTTAAAAATCTCCAGGAAAGGATAATCGCGAAGATTGAAAACAAACGAGTTAAGCTTCAGGGATATAAATAGATATGGAAGAACATGATTTCTCAATCAATTTATTATTTTTTTTAATTTTTTAACTCATTCATCAGAAAAATAAATTTGCAAACGATAATATTGTAATAACGACGACTATTTTAACTCAACTATAAGAACACAAGTATCAAGTTTACAATTAATAATACGTTAAGCACGAAGAAAAATGGTGAAGAAAAATGCACGATGCGATAAAAAATTAAAGCAAAAAACTCGTTAATTTTTAATTTTGTTTTTTTCGATAGCGAATTAAATTGTAATTACACTTGTCACGTGGGTCTCGTTGATTTACGTTAGCGAGAAGGAAAAGCTTCGCATCACCGCGTATAAGTACATACGCGGATACAACGGCGTGGTTAATGAAGCTCTCGTGACCGCGTAAAGTCTCTCCGTCACGGCAAGAAAAAAGGAGCAAGAAATGGAGGAACAAACGACGCGAACGCGATGCTATCGGGCTCTCCGCTCCTCGCGCGATGATTTGTCGAGCGAGTCCGCGAGACACGAAAGAGCCGCATAAATTCTTATTAGCGCGGTGTTGTAGCGACTCGTAAAAGTCCATCGTAACCTGGCTCGAGACTCCGAATAGCTTCTCGGGACTATTCAAGTGTGGTATAACTCGCAGTGCGATACAGTTACTCATTATATTTATTATTAAACTAATAATTTATTATTAACAATAGGGGAAGTTGGGCAAGAGTGCACTTTTTGCTTTATATCGCGCCGAGTACTTTTACCTTTGATACTTTACTACAAGTATCGATCGGACCTCATATATTTATTTTTATCATACACATTAATTATTAATATACATGCATGTTGTAAAAAAGTTTACATTGATCCATTAAGGTTATTTTCATTTCTTTTAAATTTAGTTTATAGAAATGATTTTTATGAGATGGATTCAAGAAACAATATTCCAATCCTGTGATTTTTTTATTAGATATACGAAAAATACTGACTTGCGATTCATGATTGAATAATTAAACTTGATATCGTGATTAAAATTCGATATTCCGAAATCAACTTAAAAGCGAAGAAATTCCCTTTTTGATTCAATTAATCTTGTTTTCGAAAATTAACAATAAATTATCGTACATTTTTAATCATACATATGTATATGTGTGAAATTAAATAGGTTTTATATACGTATATTCTCCTTAGGAATGTTAATCATTCATTAAAATACCCAAATTGATTGACTGTTTGCAGAACCAGTGCTCCGTAAAAGACACGAATCGAAGAATGTACTTACAAAAATGCAAAATACCATTGGTCCACTAGGAATGCTTCACGGATGCATGGAGAACAAAATTCGGATTAGGGTAGGTCACACCGATCTTTTTCATAAGAAATCCATTTATATTTATAATCATATGTAAAGAAAGTGCAGATTCTTAAGATGCAAATTTCCATATTTTATATATTTTTCAATAATTTTGTATTAAAAACTAATCTTTTCTCTATTCCAAAGAATCCTTCAAAAGAAAAATTGTGCAAAAAATTTGTTATACCTGAGAAATTATAATAACAATAATAATTTGAAGGCTTGCATCGTTTTTCAATTTTTTTTGCACATTTTTGCGTTTTTTTAAACAAAGTACTGTTTTTAAATACTATCAGTCTTAAAATAAATATTGTTCATCGCGAATTCCTAACTTTTCCTAATGAAAACTTTTCCTTCCCTAATCTTTTATATCATTGCCGAGAATAAAAAAGCAATCCTAAAAGTGGTCGCGTCGTTCCCGTATTTTTCTTCCCCTTCGACCCCCGGTGTTATGCGTGCAGGCATACATGGCTGACACACTTTCGCAGTCGAGTGACATGTACGCGAACCCTTCGCGGGGGTGCTGGAAGGGCGAGATCCTCCCTTCGCCGAGTGTCGCGACTCGACGGAGGAGGGAAAAACCCTCGGGTCAACACACGTAACCATGGCGACCAAACGGGCGTTCTCGTCGTCTTTACTTACATGTGTCCCTGAGATACCGTCATCGTGTGACAAACAATTCGACGCGAGATAATATCGCGGCCGCCAAAAAGGGTCACGCTGCCACCCTAAAGCTCACTTCTTACAGCATAACACGATTAACCTTCTTAAGAGAGCACAAAGCTCGAGTACATTTTTCCGAAAATTATTAACTCGTTGCAGATGAAATCTTGTAAAATTCCGACAATTTTTTTTTAATTAATGAGAGAAAAATTAATTAGTAAAACTTTCCCTTTATTTTCGTTTTCCTGAGATGATTTTGAAGCTGCCATAAGTACGATGTTTACATGTGCAACTCGATACGATTTCTCGAAAATTAATTTTTTTTATTTATTTTTAATAATTATTTTTATTAATTATTTTTAATTTAATATTTTATGATTATAATTTTAATATTTCTCGAAAATTATTATTTTATGATTACAATTTTGATATTTCGTTTTCCCGAGATGATTTTGAAGCTGCTATAGTACGATGCTTTACATGTGCAGCCCAATAGGACTTCTCTAAAATTAATATTTTATGATTACAATTTTGATATTTCTTGAAAATGATGAAATCGATATTCTCTCGAAGACAGGATAGTTTTTAGATATCTGGTGCAATCTGGAGAATCTAATTTTATATTCGGCAATACATTCGGAACATCTTCGAAATCCGGAAGCGAACGCATATAACTGTGGAAAGTCGCGGCCGTGCGATGGGCACGCTGATAAATCATCATCATACTTATCTAATCGCGCCCGTGATGATTTCCCGCGGCGCTGCGCGCTTAATGATTGCCGCCTCGCGCTAAGGACGGTTAATAATAGGACAATGAGACGGCATAATGGAAAATAAAAGTCAAATTGATTTAATTAGGCTCTCTTCCTGCGGAAGCGCTCCGCATCGGATATCTTCAACGAGGAGAATGGAGTTTTCGATTAGTCTCCTTCCGCGAGACGAAACCGAACCTAAATTAATCGCAATCATCAACTTTCGTCGTCGTCTCTTCGAGATACTCCTCGAATCGCTATTCTCCGTCGGTAGATCCTAATCTTTCACGACCTTCGAACGTATCCGGAAAGAAGATTTTTATCTTAGGCTTAGATCGATTACTCGGCCTTCGACTCTTCAAATTGCTGAGGAAAGCACACAATTGTTATTCTTTTTTTTTTTTTAATCATCAAGTCATTCGAACTCATCTCACGGACGAGTGCGTTGGGAAAAAATTACGATGTTTGATTACGTTGATCAAACAATTGGATGATTAATGTCCTCGAGATTTATTATTCTCATATACGCTAAGGAAAAATGAATTACATTTAACAGCTTTGTGCTTTTATTTCGAAAAGTAAATTTTACGCAACAGTAAAACCGTTAAAAGCGGATGATCGAAACGAATTTGTAGATATTGTACATAATTTTGGGGAAAAAAATTTGCGAAATAATTTAGAATTAGAAATAATTTAATCGACTCGATAATCCCGAGCAATTAAATCAGTTTTGTTTTCCATTACTCGCACAGTTTTCCGGTCTAATTGAATCCACGTGTTACATTGACGTTTCTACCTGAATCGCCCTCGATAATCTCATTGCCGCGATCTTTCGATCGCGACGAAATCCTTGGATCCACGGTCAAGAAAATCCTGACACATCAAGCGCAAAATTGCTGCAGTTCCGAAGCAATGACAAGTTCTAATCCCTACATTCTTTCTACGATTTATCATACCCGTAACTAACGATGTTCCGAGATATATTTTCATATTCCAATAATTAATAATAGTTTCATTAAAAATTTAATAAAATTATTTTGATGAGGTAAAACATATTAGACTCGGTTTAGTTTCCAAAAGCGTAGAAAGATCGACGGATAACGGGCAAATTATGTAATCTTGGAACTCTGCAAGGACCAAATTCCTCGTTGGCGATCTTGAGGAGTTCTGGGATCGATTTCCGCTAATTCGTAGACGTCGACGACATTCATTCAATAGCTCGTGATGACACATAGTCCGTGAGACTCTCAATTGGTTTTCATTACGACAAAGCCGACCGTACATACGTCTACGAAAGGCATTGAAGGGGGCCTTGCCTCGTCGATTCGCACTTCCGCGTATTAGACCGCTATATTGTCTCCTGCAACCACATCTATGCGACAAGCAACGAGTTTTCTCAATATAATAACACGAATCCTTAATAACCGGCGCGATATTTAATAATAAATAAATTTTAATTAATAATAAATAAATTAATAATAATTTTTAATTAATAATACATAAATTAATAATAAATTTTAATTATTAATAAATAAATTAATAATAAATAAATTGTAAATTAATAATATTGTCTATCGTCCACAATAAACATTGCTAAATTATATAGTTCCTTGATTCGACGATACAATCTGAATTTTCCAAGCAAATCCCAATTTAAGCCGGACAAACATCGAAAGTCAAATATTAGTTGTACAGCTTTATACTATTAAATTTACTGGTAATATTAATAATCATTGTGAAGCGTTGAAGGAGAATAACTAATTATATTTACATGTATTTGAATCATATCATTAGTTAACCGCACAGAAGTTTAATAAATACATCACACATTTCATATATATATGATGAGATATAAAAAAGAAATAAACTGATTCTACCGCAATTTGCATAAATACTTCATTGAATATATAAAAAATCGCAATGATGCAAAAGAATCCTCTTCCCCTTCCCCGATCACGCTCTTTTGCGGATTCATTCGATTATGATTACGTGACCTATACACATGATTCATATGAAAATATATTATCGATCTAATTGTAAGTGATATGCATTGAATTTGATGAGTCAGGTAGAAACAATTTAGCATAGAAAAATCAGACAAATGCTCCTTGATGCTTTTATTCCCTGTTAACAACGTTTGCTTTATCTTGTCTACGCGATTCACATTCGATTCTACTACTTTCTCGTTTCGATATGGTAATCGAAAGTGAAGAAAGAATGCCAATCACGCCGTCTCTTCTCGTCGTAGTGCGCGGCTTTACCTGGAAGAAACGAGTCGCACGTAACACTCGGGGACTCGCGATTCTAAAAGGAATAATCGGTCGTTCTTTGTCGAAGGTCTACACCAGGAACGCGCGCGGCATAAGGGGACACGTGGAGGCATACGTGGTCGCCTTCGATAAGCACTGGAACCTCGCGCTGGAGGACTGCTACGAGGTCTGGTCCCGCAAAGTCAAGAGGAAAGCGCCCGTTCTCGGTACGATCATCTCATTAAAATCTCGAATAATCAATCAAGAGTCACATTATACGAGGGGTCAATCACTACTTTAAAAATGTACAGTGATTGCCATTTTTGATAATACATTTTATTACTAACATTTAATGCTAATTATATTGCTTTTGTATTGTTAGTATTCCTATTGTTATATTATTTTATTATCAATATTGCCGCAGAATTAAAAAGTATTTCTAATGCCTATTACTTTTTTTATATTGCTAGTATTATTTCAATACATTTTTAATGAAATGTACAATGATTGCCATAGTGACCTCTCGTTATATATTAAAGACTTTTAATTAAATTACGCGCGATAGTTTTTATTTTCTGCATAGAAAACCTCACAGAAATCATTAATTAGAGATAATTTATCTATATGGAGTTTTTTTGTAGAACATCATTATGAAAATTATTTTATTTTCATAATATCGAATTTTTTTTCGATATGATGAGATGTTTGCCGTTAATGGATTAGGAGAAATGTTATTACTCATAAAATCGATCATTATATATATAAATGACCCACATTTCCAATGCAATTCGTTGCATTTCGTTGCAATTAAAGATTCTTTAAACAATTAAGAATCGATTATTCTTTATCAAGTATATCGAAATATTTCATTAATTACGAGAAAGTTGATTTAAAAAATTTTACGAATTAAGTTGTAAAAGTTAATAATAATATCCTTAATAATAGCTTTCATATAATTTCGAATAAATTTTTTTCGACAGAATTTATATACAATTCTGTTGAATTTAGTACTTATTAAAAAAAAATGACATATAACATGACATCAACTCTAGTTTCTGTTACATTGTTTCGTGATTGCTGATTACCTTACAATTATAATAATTTATTCCGATATAATTATAATGGAAGTGACTATAACAATCTTGTTATGTGTTTTATGTAATAGTCATATATTAATGTAAAATATGTTTCATGTTTTTATAATAATCTAATGCATATCAACTTGATATTGACTTTGATACTCGATTGTTGAGATGACACAGAGTTATAATCTTCACAATTATTACAGAAAACGCTTGTAGAATTTAAATGAATTTTTTAATCTAGATTTTTTCAAGGATGAGACAGACAAAATAAAATTAGTGTGTATCTTTTTTCATACGATTAAATCTGTTTTCAAAAACTTTCAAAAAGGAAAATGTAAAAACAAATATCGCGAAATTTTCAAAATGATACGAATATAACGATATGTTACCGATTTTTTATTTATATCCGAAAGAAATATGCAATTTTGATATAAGTATGAGATTCGGAAAGGAGTCGGCCGATTGATTATCCTTGCGGCTTGTCAAAGTTTTTAGAGTTATTTCTTTTTTACCATTATTTTTTCTTATACACATATATACTATACTGCAGAAGTCATGACTTGTGCTCCTTTATATTTTTATTTTGAATCTCGTTTGTACCCTAATGTTTGGTCTGAATCTTTATCATTTAATCAACTAACATGATTAAATTTACCTTTGTCGAAAGGTATCAGATTAGCTCGATTCAAAATAAATATCTCATCAAGAGTAAAATGCAAAGTGTAAATTATTCTTAGAAATCTTCTCAAAAATACTACTTATGCAGGATTTTTATATAACATTGATAACAATTTATTTACAAAATATCCGTCTGTACAATATATGCTTTATATACCTTTATATACCAAATTGAGGATGCAATAAGTGCGCAAAACTTGAAGATGCAATATTTCATCTATTCCTTCGAGTCAAGGAGCCAATTTTTTTCACGGCCCTCGGGGATCGCCGCCTTTTTACGAGAGAATAACATTTCACTTGCGACAAGACCGATTCACTTTTAATCCGTGGGATATCTCGTTCCTCTCGCCGCGCAAATCGATAGAGTTTAACGAACCCTGAGAGCGCGCGCGTGTGATCCGCTCGTCTTTATTTACACCGCGCGGCAAAAGGGCGGTAGCCGAGAGCGGAGAGCAGAAGAGAAGGAAGGGTCGTCGTATCGCGCGCGCGAAGGGGGATAATATATCCCACTAAGGTCGCCGCCGCTTTGCGGCAGGAGCAAGGACCGACCTTGACTACATTATAGTGGTCGCCGCGCGCGCGTTCGATACGCGCCTTCGAGGAGGAGAGCCCCCCGCGCTCGACGTAAAAGCGGGAGGGGGAGGGGGGTGCCCTCTCGCGTGCACGCTTCCGCGCTCGTGTTCCTTCTCTCTTACATCTTTCTCCGGCGCGCTTCTCCTTCTTCTCTCTCCCTTTTCTTTGCCTCCGACTTTGCTTCGTCTCTCTCTCTCTCTCTCTCTCTCTCACTCCCACTTTGCGTCGACTCCCACGCGACGCTTCCCCTGTGCTCCTTCGCGTCTGGCCTAACAATTTTCCTCTTCCTCTTCCCTTTTTTCTCTTCTCTTTGCCACGTGCCCTCCAACCTTCGCCTTCTCGTTTCATTCACTCGCACCGACCGTGTCAAACATGCCAACTTTTATATCAAACGTTTCGTTTGTATGTACAAGAAATTGAAAATTTGCCGGCTCCTTAATCCGTAGGTAGGAAGAATCGAAAGGTAACCGATACATGTAATGAAACTGATATTTTATAAATAAAATGTCACCTGACAAAATTTTTAATCTTAAATATTCAAACAAAATTTTTTATTTAACGAAAATGATTGCTATTATCTACCAGCACTTATTCAGGGGTAAAAATTGTAATTTCAATTTTTTTAAGAAATTCCAATTAAAATGTCATCCGCTGAATAAATTTTTTTCTCAATTTCTTTAAAAATGTAGTCTAATTTTGCAAACAAATTAGAGTTTTTTTAATAATTACATTTCTCTGGGTTACGTATCGTATGCGTTTATTTTTTTGAAGAAATCGCCAAAATGGCTATCAACCCTATTCAAAATCTAACAATTTTTATCAGATACATCTGCCATCATATGTATAGATGCATTTCTCGTCAACGCATGCCGAGATCGTTCGGATTTTGATCGATGATTTGATCAAATAATCGGATTACATTAAAAAAAGAATACGATATTTAGGGTTAATTTAACGAAAGTACTTTGATAAAAATTTGAACGTGCGCGATTATATCGCTCTTGCTTATCGTATACACGATATATACGATTCACAATACATGCGAGATACTCGATGATTGTTTTCCCGATGTCAAAACAAGAATGAATAAACAATTAATCTCTTCAGTAACAATATGATGCATATAAAAAATATTATGAAAAACATACTTGGAGTGTACTTTAAATAAGATGTCTGCAACATGTCTACCTTGAAATTATTTTAATAATGATGAAGTCTCATAAGAAATATCATAAATCTCGTAATAAATAAATAAACGCTTCTGTAATATTACGAGATTTATATAATTAAAAAAATATCAAATTCCAAAAATTTATGAGAAAATTCTCTTTTAACCACATGTTTTATTTCATCTGACGCAATTAAAGAAACATTTCTCTATAAACGTAAAGCTTTACATTTTCTCCTCAATTAGATCTCTTTCCGATACCTAGGATTGAGGATTAATTTATTATTAATATATTTCTTCGCTTATAATTTAAACAAATTATTTCTGGAGGAGGTTAAATGAAGAAAGGTGCGATAACGTATTGCGTGGTAACACGTGGAGAAACACGTGGCAAATAGCTCAAACTCTTTCCTGCGCCGCATTTATGGCGATCTGAAAAACGACGCCACGGGCGGGCGCTCGTATGCTCTGCTCTCTTTTTCTCTTTCAGCGCGCCGAGTTCAGGGTTAGTTGGCCTACTGACGTACTTCGGGATATCGCGAAGGGTCGCGGAGGTCGTTGATACGACGTAGCAGGGTGGGAGGGTGAAGGGACGGGCGACTTTGGAGAACAGCCGCCTATAGGATCGATGTACACGTGTCCTGTTGGCTCCTCGTGCTTGCCTTTCTACCACCAGCCCCCTTCCGACCCTCTCGTGGCCCTTCCGTTTCCTCCGTTCCCCACAATCTCCCTCCCCCTCCTCCCCTCCTGCCGCCCTCACGGTCCACGCACACTTTTGCGGGCACGTGCTGGCATATAAACAACCTTCCCAGACTTTCCTCGTGACCTCAGTGACATTTTCGTTCCGTCCTTTTCCACAACATCAAATACGCACTTCCGACACATTTCTGGTTAATATCCGTCGTATTCCAAACTTGAAACTTTTATCAGGAATTGCTTATGCAGTGGACGATAAACTCGTTATTAAGAGGTGCTGAGAGTTTTAAATTATCCAAAAAAATAAGTTTATTATAGAATGTTTTGAACATTTGCAATTCAAAATTAATGTTCATCTCAATTTGTAATATCATATTTAACATCAATTTTGGAAATCTTATTAGATTGCCTTGAAAATGTGATCATCTCTATTTACATTTTCGGGGATTTATGAAAAAAATGAAAATATGATGGAAAATTATAAGCTCTTAACGATACATATACCTGACAAAATGATAAATACATTTTCATCATGCAATAAACAATCAGAATTTGATTTAAATCAAATTGAAACCCATTACAATTGTCGTTATTTTTTCAAGCAAACTGGCAACAATTTATTCGCATTTGCATGTTGAATTTCTAAAGTAGTTGTCCCGTTAGCTAAGAGAAAGAATTATACATCATATCGGAAATACATACATATCGAGGACTCGACATTGCATTTTTGATTCAGGTGCTGATGCAGTCAAGGTAGAGGCGGCAAACGGTATCCCTAAGACGGTGATAAGGAAGGAGCGAAAGATGGAGACCTTGGAGAGACACGTGCCACAGATGCTACTGAGGGGAGAGCAAGTCGCTATAATCGTCAAAATCAATTGACCATCGCCTTAAGGATTGTTTCCAAGCACGTGCAGCACTCAATTGTATAGCTAATACAACGATAGTTTTTCCGTCATCCATCATCCGTTATTTATCTAACGAAATAAATAACTAAAGTATTACGAGTATTGTGTGAAAATGTTTCACGATAAAAAGTTTATTCGCTTGGAATCCTCTGAAAAGTGTACAACGATTTTTTCATCTCGAAATACAATAATCGAATAGCAAACATTTGATCTGCGTAACCGAAATTTTCACGAGTTTTTAATTCCTCGCTTCCTCTTTTCCCGATGCTACGTTTATATAATATTTTAAATAAAAAAATTGTTACATTTTTCAAAAATACACATGATAAAATTTCACGTTCCCATTTCTCTTCCTGCTATAATTAATTTTCAATAACACCCATATACAGAGAAATATCGTATGCATTACATTATTACACGTGATTACGTCAAAAGGAATTTCGCGCCCTTGAAATTATACGAAGAATCAAAACCTGGAGGACACCTGGAGACTTTCTCGCGACGCGGATATAAGGATATAATTCGCAGGAGTGAAAAAAAGGGAAAAGAAAGGAACGTCGAGATGAAAAAAAAAAGAACGAGGAGGAAGAGATCAATCTGCATAGTCGACGCGGCCTTCGGGCGGAGTAAGAGCCGATAAAGAATCCGCTCTAATCCGCGGTGCGAGCATCGAACGAGGAAGTCGAAGGCGGCGAAGAAAGTTAATTCGCGATTGTCCGGCGTCGCGCCTTTCCACCGTGACTAACTCACGCACCGCGACGAGGGACTGGTTTTTCCCTTCTAGCGCTCGTCGCCCTCGTAAATGTCCCCTTCCCCTCCTCGCCCCTCGGTGGAATGAAGCGGAATGCGTGTCGCGAGGAATAAGAAAGTCTCGATGGTTGACTTACGGTACCGAGGAGACGTGCCTCGTCGACGGACGAATGAAAACGGCACGTCGTGAATGATTAATATTCGTTGTTCGCAATTACCGAGAGGGGGGCAGGATCGATACTCTTCGTCGAATTAATTTCGCGCGATCGTAGAAAATTTCCGGGAATTTTTAAAGAACTCTCGAACGAAACGGTTTTACACAGGGATTTTCATTGGTCAAATTAGAAGAGAAATTGTAATTTTAATCGCGATCGATAAGAGTGATTTGTAAATTTGCCATTTTTAAATAATGTGTGCATTTATCTTTGGGCTATTTAATTCTTTTGCGAGCATTGCTGTGATAATGCTTATCTAGGGAGAAAATTATATAAAACTGATATGCAGTGAAACTTGAGATATAATAACACGCTGTGAATTACTGATTGTGAGTATATATATGTATATGTTAATGCGGGACTTGTCCTAAGCATGGCGCACTTTCTCTCGAGCGCAAATACTAAAGGCCAATCCGAGAAGGATGCTGACTGTTTCATGGTCGGAAAGAAATATCGAGATTAACATATATTATAAATCTCAATTTTTTCCTCACAAACTCTGGTCCACGATTTGACCAACAGAACCAATTTTTCTATAATTTTCTACAATTTTTAACAAAAATGTCCAGGTCGCAATAATTCTTTCGAGTTGCAAACGATTATAAATTTAAGAATCTCAAGTCTCAAAAAGATGTAACAAAATTTATCGTTTAATTTGAACAGACTTTTTGCGAGACAACAGAATTTTATAACAATAGTCATAATTCTTTAATAAAGTATTAGAAGAAATTTATCCTTTATAATCAAACTTTAAAGTCGACAGTCTGACTTTGTAAAAGTATTAATAACCGCGTGTATTTAAGGTTCATTCAACTTTCGCGTGTTTACACACGCGAGTATTATTGTCAAGAATGGCGTTGAGACGACACGTCGACTATAGCGTGCACCACCGCGTTGCACCGCTATTCTTTCATAATTGCGTCTCGTGCAACTCGCAGCACTATCAATTTTCCCCTCCTCTCCTCACCTTAAAAGAGAGCGACGAAGGGCAAGCGCATCCCTAATGTAAGATTCAACGCGGAATATCTCCCAGGAATATCAGAGGCCGCGTTTCCTCGTCGCTTCGCGCGCGGCCATTGCTCCATTAATTATTCTAAAATCGTATATTTTTCCGGTCGCGAAATCGCGTGCGCGCGCCTTCGCTTCTGCGTCGCGGAAAAGTGCATCTCGCGGGCACGGGGCACGGTGAAAGCACGAATATCTCCCCCTCGCCCACCCTCCCCCCGGCCCCTCGCGAGCGGCCGGGGGAACGAACGCGCGTTCCCGGGGGGCCCTCTCACTTTCGCTCTCCGGAGAAAGTCCGCTCGCCCCCTTCCCCCTCGCCCCCCCTCGAGCCGCTTCGCGATTTCCTCTCTCGCGTCTCCGTCTCTCACGTAAAAGCGCTCGCCTCGACGATCGCAACCACGCCGCCGCGAGCCTCCCTCGCCCCCTCCCCCCTCGCTTCTTTCCATTCGCTTCATCCCGTCCCCAGCCCCCCCTCTCCCCGCCCCGCATCTCGAGCCCGCGACGGTTCTTCTGCGCTTCTTCTACGGTGTGCTCTCGCGATCCGACAGGGGTTAATGCACTCCTAGAGCAAACCATAACCTTAGCCGGAGCCCTCGAGTAAGCGCGGGAATCTCGCTACCGACGACAGAAGACGGACAGACGGACGGAGGTCCCCGCAGCATCGCCTATACCGGATCGTCGAACAACACGTAATGGCATTTCTCTCGGTGCTTTCTTGCAGAAATGCTGATGGTAATGGTAATTTTACGTACGACAGTCCTGTTTTTATTTAAAAAAAAAAATCATAATGTACAAGGGGAGACGTAATTTGCATATGAAAGCTGCTTTGCGGGAAGACAATTTATCATTCCTCGATTCGCAAATCGCAAAAATCTTCCGCTTTTGTATCTTTTGAAATCACGAGATGCTCTCATGCGTTTCTACGTTCATTAATTCTAAAAGTCTCCACGTCATTCTTTCGATCTTCGAATTTTGCGACGACTCTTGGAGTGGATATCTGGGCTCGCATCTCCGGAAAGTCGGTGGAAAGCGGACGAGGATGGCTCCAGGATAAAACCGTATCAGGGGAAAGTATCTCGTAAAAGCACACGATTATCGTACGACGTCGCAATCAGGCTCCGAAAAGGGCGATTCCCCTCTCCCTCCTCCTCCCCCAGTTTTATTGAAAACCATACCGAGGAGAGACGTCTCTGTAAAACGGCGTCATTAAGAGATACACGAGCGATACGCGATTAAGATTCGTGGACCTTGGAACGCATTGTCCGTGCGCGATAATTGGCCGCTGTTTTGTATGCGTGCTCCTTCGGCGGACAGAATAGTTTATCCGTGCTATCTTTCTTTTTCTATCGAACCAACTCGCGTTATCTCTCTCCGTCTTCCTCTTCCTCTCTCTTACACTAGAAGCGGTAGATTCTATATGTGATAGAACGCCGATCCAGGGCCGACGAGTAAGCGCCTTGGAGGCGTAATGACGATCGTAGAAACTCTCGAGGTCGGTCCACAGCGAGATTCAGAGTTTCGCGAAATAGACGACTCGTAAACACGGATATGTATTTTTTTTTTTTTTTTTTTTTTTTTTTTTTTCGAAAATTATCAAGTTGAAAAATATACTGCTGTTGAGATGATTAGAAAATATATTTATTTTCGCGAATAAAAAGAGTTTAGTTAAATGATCAGAAAACTTTAATCGTGCAATTTGGATTTTCTGTTTTAATAGAAATTCAAAATGTTGAATTATTAATTTGTGAGCTAAAGTTTGAATAAATAAAACAAATAATATCGACAGTTTCATCAAGAATCATTTTCGATTGTTGAAATGCACGTCGCAAAGTCTTTAAGTCTGCAACGAGATTAATTGAACTGATAGTGTAAAAAATATTAAATCATATTGCCTTTGAATTTGCGCGATAATTGGCAATTATCGCGTGCGTAATTTTATAAACCAACAGAACACTCTCTCTTTCTCAGAAAACGACATCGTTGCAGCACTATTTGTGTGTATGCATTTTCTTCAGAGTTGACCGGAAAAGTCTAGTGAATGGAAAAAAACATGATAAATTTCGGTCTTTAATTGTTTTAATTGGTAAATCATACTAATCACTATAGAATATTTTAAAAAGTGAAACCAATATATAATAATAAAGTTTTTTTTATTCAAATTAATACGTGAATTTTTGGGACAAAAATTTTGAGGATATAAATTATTAAATTTTATATTAATTTTTAGTTTAATGCGAATGTGTGTGTAATAAAAACAGAATTAAAAATTTTCATCAATACATATTTAAATTTATTTATAACTTTGCGTTTCTTGAACATCTTGTAATCAAAAACCTATTCTATTTAATACGTCGATTGTGGATTTTCATTTTAGATAAAACTAAGTTAGAAAACGTTCTGTCAATTGATAAATATCGAATAAGTTTTTCTATTTATTATTTTAATACTTTTAAAAAAAGAATTTTGAAAAAAGAATTTTTTCGGAAAATGTCAATTTTGACCACTAATATGGATTTTATCCGAAAAAATGTGGAATTTTGCCAATCTTGGTATCCTTCAACGTTTCTTACAAAGAAATCCCTCGCCAATACGATGCGCTCTTCGCGAATACGACGTAATGACGTTACGCGAGATAAAATCGCAAATTACAGCGAGTGTCGCGCGATAACGAGTACGTCGCGTGCATAACGCACGTGTTTTAACGACGCAATTATGATCCACCAAGAGCCACAGTTCTCGCCCCACCGAAGGAAAACGCCATATATGCACATTCCTCACTGAATAACAAACTTTTTAACCCGGAAAGATGTGTAAACTTACAACATTGTAACAGTATTTTTAAAAAAATATATGTATAATATATGGATAAAATGTGCAAATATTGCAAAATTTAAAATTCTCGTTTCAATAAATGTAATAATGAATTGAAAGATGCATACAAATTGGGATTATTTTTTAAAAGGACACAGAATTTTTTGGCGAAAACAGCTCTCGTTAAAAAATCACGTTGCAACGGGCGGATGAAAAAATGAAAAATAATCCTGGTTAATCATTTTTATTTCTATAATATATCATATGTTCATTCCATAATCTCAATTTCTCCAAAACGCATCAGTCGGAGATGAACTTACACTCGCGCTAAGCGAAGTGTTGAAAATAACCGCTCAAACGTCCCTGACGAGATGGGAATGTTGAGTTCATCGCGAATAGTATGTTGGCTGTCGCGATTTGCACTTCC